GGGCGGAGCGGGCGGACGGACCCCCCGCGCCCCGAGGGGTGCCACTGCCCCCCCAGGACACGGTCACCCGTGTCCCTGTGTCCCCAGCAGCTTCAGCTGGCGGGTGTGGGGCGCTTCGGGGACTCCGAGGGGGCTCAAGGGGACTTGGGGGAGGCCAAAGCCAATTTCCCCTTTGGGGGGGCGCTCCCTCGGCAGCCGGGGGTGGGGAGACGGCACCGAGGTGGGGCAGGGTCGGATGTGGGCTTGGCAGGCGGTTTCATGGAATTAACTGAGGGACGGGGTGGTGGTGCAAGGTGGGACCCCCCCCAGCCCCACCACTGAGCCCGGGTGCCCGGCAGGGGCTGGGAGCCTGGCGGCCCCCTCCCCAGGGAGCCATCTCTGCTGGGATGGTGGGCAGGAGGAGGCACAGAAATCGGCACAGGAGGGGTGTGTGTGGGTCTCTAAACACCCCAGAAGCCCGGGGAGGCGAGTGTGTTGATATTTAATTACCAGCACCAACAACGTCATGGAATTAACTGAGGGACGGGGTGGTGGTGCAAGGTGGGACCCCCCCCAGCCCCACCACTGAGCCCGGGTGCCCGGCAGGGGCTGGGAGCCTGGCGGCCCCCTCCCCAGGGAGCCATCTCTGCTGGGATGGTGGGCAGGAGGAGGCACAGAAATCAGCACAGGAGGAGTGTGGGGGGGTGTCTAAACACCCCAGAAGCCCGGGGAGGGCGAGTGTGTTGATATAAAATTACCAGCACCAACAACACACCCCCTTTCCTGCTGCTCTTCCTTGCTCAGCTCTCCTCCCCACTCGTCTGAGTTATGGGGTGGCCCTGGCCCCCCCTGAGGTGGGGATGCTCAGGGGGAATAACAGCCCCCAAAACCCAAAAGTAGGACGTGCCTAAGGAGAAGGGTGGTCAAGGAGCTTTATTTGCTGTGAAAGTCAGTGTTCATGTGGAAGCGTTTTTGTCTCGGGGTGCACCAGGAGGGTCCTGAGGTCACCCCCGTGTCCGATGGGAGCCGGGAGGGAGGTCCCAGGGGAGACACGTGGCTTCCCAGGTGGGCCCGGGGCTGCTGCTCCTCGGTGGGACGGGGTCAGACGCTGCCGACCAGCCGCAGGCTGTTGGAGTAGACGACCAGAAACACCACAATAAACGTGATGGTCAACACGGTACCCAGGCAGATCGCGGCGATGTTCAGGTGCTTGGCTGTCTTCCCGTAGCTTCTGGCAGTTTCTGGGTCATGGGCCATTTTCCTGTCCCTGGACTGCGGGAGGAGAAGATGGGCAGTGAAGGACACAAGCCAGTGGCGGTGGTGGCCATGGGCCGAGGGGATCTCCTGGAGTCCCTCTCCAGCGAAGCCCTGCACCGGGATCCACCGGGCTGTTCCAGTGCCATAGGAACTCGCAGCAGCCTGAAAGTGCTTTCTTAATGGCTTATTAAAAGCCATTTCTCCTGGCAACACGGTGCCCGGTGCCGTGGGGGCTGGGGCAGCAGTGCAGGAGGGGGAGAGCCAACCAGAATCAGGGGGAGCAGTCGGTCGGGAGCACCCACACGGCACTTCCAACGGTGCTGGAAAATACTGACGTCTGTCTCTGTGGTTATCAGGGCACCCATCACAAATTACTTGCTTTGATGGTAATAAAGGGAGGGTGCAGCTATCTCTTATCTCGGGCAGGGGTCAGGCCCCGCTGTGGTTTGGGGAGCACCGTGGGAGGGGGCCGGGACCCCGCTGCCCACCTTGTCCCCCCGGCTGGGGCTCAGTC